CAAATTAATGCAGAACACCATGAAATTCTAAAAGGTTCACATACTTTTTCTTGCAACTGTATATATTCAGATTGAATAAATATGGGGAGAGTACAGGTACTCCACAATTTATGACGGCAATTGGGACTAGAATTTCCATCACTAAGCGATGCAGTTGTAAAGCGAGACGTCACGTGACTGCATCACTTAGCGACCGTAATCCCGACATTCCCAGTTGCCATCATTAACCAAGAATCACAGGTTGTTAAGTGAAGGGAATTCCAGATAAGGATCATGGGGTGCCTCAGAAGGGTGGGGGAGGCCCTGGGAGGCCCAGCGCTGGCCACACACAAATTGGGGTGCTGCAGTGTGGCACAAAGCTGCAACTGCCCCTGGAAGCTTCAGCTGCCCTGGCCCAGCTCAGCAGTGCTTACAACTACAGGGGTGCTGCAACTCCCCCCCACCTATTCCCCCCCATCTATGCCCTTTTGGCTGCCCTGCACTGCGGCACTCATCGGCAGCGCTGGGGCTTCCACCACCCCCAGGTCTCTACTTCAGCTCCAGTGCTGCTGCTGCCACTGAGAAATGCCACTCAAGTCCCACACCACAGCCAGCCACCACTGCACAAACCCCAGTTGCCCCCGCCACCCTGCACTCCACAGGCTTTGCCATGCCCAGTTGACCTTCGCCATTTTCCTTGCGAGAATGGGTGTGCTATTTGGAGAAGGAATGGGGCTCATGATTTGGAGAATGAGGGTTTCTGAAGCACTGTGAGAATGGGGCGCCTGCTGTTTTCCAAATAGCACTCCTGTTCTTGCAAGACCTGGGGAAGACCAGAAGGTTTCCAAAGGATTGCAAGAATGGGGCGTGCAATTTGGAGAAGGAATGGGGTGCGTGATTTGGAGAAGGAATGGCATGAGCAGCTTGCAGAATGGTGCAAGCAGCCTTGGGAAGAAGGCCTGGTGCAGCCAGCAGCTGCCTCACATACAGTAGGGTCAGGCTGGATGCATCTCGTCAGCAGTGGGAGGAAAACAGCGATGGTCAGCTGGGCATGGCAGAACCTGTGGCTGGCCATGGTGTGGGGCTTGAGGTGGCATTTCTCAGTGGCAGCAGCGGCACTGGGGCTGGCGGAAGGGGCCGGGGGGGGGGGGCGCTGGGTTGGAGTGCGAAAGGGCCCGGACATCATCATCAGCCCCCCCG